CGCAAGATCTACGCCGTGGAGGCCAGCACCATGGCCCAGCACGCCGAGGTGAGCCCCACCCCGACAGCAAACGGGTTTAAAATCACGGGGATTTGGGGTTCGAAGGAAAATTCAACTTATTTTCCCTGGGAAAATACCCAGGGAAAACGAAGGCCTTGTACTTGCTACTGCACCTGCGTAGCCAGTAGATGATAAATGCTGTAATTGTTAGATGTGATGATTGTTTAGTAATTAAATCTAATTGCTGTTCAATCGTAAGAATAATCATGAGAAACTGTGGTCTAAGAAAGATCACGAGAAACTCGTGCTCGCATAAAGCCAATGTATACAATAGAACAATATAAGTTTAATAATTAATATGGAAGTTAAATGTAAGAATAATCATGAGAAACTGTGGTCAGGGGCTTGAGAAAGATCACGAGAAACTCGTGCTTGAATAAAGCCGATGTATACAATAGAACAATATAAATTTAATAATTAATATGTAAGTTAAAACAATAGAAGTTTAATAATTAATATGTAAGTTATATAGGGATAGAATGTAAAATACATTCAGCTCAAAAGCCGTGTCAGAGTCAGATTTGGGTTTGTACCCCTGATTCCCAGAGCTCTCAATAAAAGCACCTGCAGGGAGTCATATCCCCATGATTATTTGTGTTTCTGAACACTGACAACCCCATCCCCTTTTCCCCTCCTTTTCCTCTCCTTTCTTCCTTCTTTTCCCCTCCTTTCTTCCTTCTTTTCTCCTCCTTTCTTCCTTCTTTTCTCCTCCTTTCTTCCTTCTTTTCCCCTCCTTTCTTCTCTCTTTCCCCCTCCTTTCTTCTCTCTTTCCCCCTCCTTTCTTCCTTCTTTTCCCCTCCTTTCTTCTCTTTTTTCCCCTCCTTTCTTCCTTCTTTCCCCCTTCTTTCTTTTCCCCTCCTTTCTTCCTTCTTTTCCCCTTCCTTCTTCTCTTTTTTCCCCTCCTTTCTCCTCTTTTTTCCCCTCCTTTCTTCTTTTTTCCCCTCCTTTCTCCTCTTTTTTTCCCCTCCTTTCTCCTCTTTTTCCCCCTCCTTTCTTCCTCCTTTTCCCCTCCTTTCCCAGGTGCTGGTGAAGAGCAACAACCTGACGGAGCGGATCGTGGTGATCCCGGGCAAGGTGGAGGAGGTGTCCCTGCCCGAGCAGGTGGACATCATCATCTCCGAGCCCATGGGCTACATGCTCTTCAACGAGCGCATGCTCGAGAGCTACCTGCACGCCAAGAAGTACCTGAAGCCCAGTGGTGAGCGCCGCTGGGGGGGTCCCCGGGGGTCCCCGGGAGCCGTGGGACCCCCCAGGCTCCAAGCTGGTCCCTTCCCCAGGGAACATGTTCCCCACCATCGGCGACGTGCACCTGGCGCCCTTCACGGACGAGCAGCTCTACATGGAGCAGTTCACCAAGGCCAACTTCTGGTCAGGCGGCGCGTGCC